TTCCCCACCTTTGTCTTGTCCATCACTGCCACCACGCAGGCAAGTAGGGTTTGGGCTGAGCCGAAAGCAGCGTCTGGCTCCATAGCTGGCAGCAGTTACTTACCTAAGTGTCTTCTCCGTCCAGGCTTTGGCATTGATAGAGCTCTACAACGCTCCTGAAGGCCGCTACAAGCAAGACGTGTACTTGCTGCCTAAGAAAATGGGTAAAGATGTACTCGCGGCCTTCTCTTTTTTTGGTTTTGAGATTGAACAGATGGGAGGTTTTCCTAGGCAGGGCTGAGGACGGCGTGGCATTGCAGCCGCCTGGGCTCTCTTGCTTGCCTTCCTGCCAAGCTCAGGGTCTTCCAGCAAGTTCTTCCCACTGGGTCTGGGCTCTTCGCTAAATTGGACGGAGGTGTTGTTTCTCCGTCCCGCCTGGGGAAAACAGGCTGACGCGCTTGGCCAATGTGCTTGGCCGACCGCAGGGGCCCATCCGCGCTGATGGAGGGGATTTTCATGTAGGGCTTCTGCCAACGGAGCTGCCTTTGTTAGCTGTGAAGACACGTAGTGCCTGACTGACAGCTCTGCCAGCAGAGCCCCCTCCTGAGGACACAGGCCCTGTACCGCTATACTGACCACGCTTTTGCTGCAAAACTGGACTTTTTTGTGTTAACTGTATTTTTTGAGACCAGGTGCAACTTGTCCCTAGCTTAGGCATCACCTACCAGAAATGTCCAGTGGCTTCTGCATCAGCAGAGCATCCAGGCTTGCCCGAGGGTGCAGTGTAACACAGCAGCAAACCTGGGAGTCCTGCTGGAAGGGTATTTCAGAGGAAGGTTTGTTTTTGCCCTCTAACTCAAAATAGATGAGAGCCTTGGTTTCCCCGTTCAGGGTGGAAAGCAGTCCTGAAATTTAGCAGCAAAGGTGTGAGGAGCGATGCCTTTCCCAGGCGGGGCTTTAGGGACCTGGTGCGCAGCAGGAGGGGACTTGTTGCCTTACTCTACTAACGAGGCTTGAAATCCTTTCAGATGAGTACGTGGCAAGCCTTCACCTCCCGACGTTCGACGCCCACCTGACAGAACTAACGGATGAACAAGCAAAATACCTGGGGCTGAATAAGAACGGACCTTTCAAACCAAACTACTACAGGTGCTGCTCCTCAGCCTCTCTCTTTCTTCTGCCATGAGTGTGGGGTACGCATGTCGGCGGGGGGGGTGGGGGGGAAGGGGACGGCGTGGTTGGAACCGTGACGTAGAGCACTTGGCAGGAGACGAGCCCTTTGTATCTGGCAGCAGCTGTCGCCCAGACGTGGCAAACGGCAGAGCGGTGCCATCCGGCCAACTCAGATGACAGCTTTATTTTTAAAGTTTGACGAAGGATGAGGTGGCGCAGAGCAGCCTTTGGCCCTCGCGCTGGGGGCTGCTCGGGCAGCCTTGGCTTGATGGCTCTCCTCCCCCAGCACGGGCTGTGCTGATCCCCCAAAATAATTGTGATTTTCAGTACGAGCGCCCTGGATCGCTGCCCTTTCCAGGCTTATGCTTGTAGCCAACACTGCAACGCATTTTTTTACCATGAAAATGCTTTGCACAAACACAGGTCAACTTTGGGGCGGGGGGGGTTGAAGCCTCAATCCTTTTCTTGCAGGAAAAGACGTTTTCTTGGTGTGCAGGCCTTCAGCACTCACACGAGAGCAACGCCGCACCAAAATGCTCCAGTTTTGGGGTTCGGTTCTTTTTTTCCAGATCCTGAGCTTTTTTTTTCCTGCCCTGTGCTATGTACAAAATCATTGTGGTGCTGCTGCACCACCGTGCCCTTCCATGGAGGAATTTCCTCCAGTTCAATTTTCTTTGCCCGGTTTCGGTATCTGGCTTTAGTCCCGGCCTTGTGGGGAGCGTGGTTTGTCCCACGCGCAGAGAAGTTGGGATAAGCAGAAGGTCACGGCAAATTCCCTGCATCGAGGGAGAGCCATGCTGGCTCAAACATCCCCCGTGCACCACGGGGTGGAGATACGCTTGGACAGCTTCGGCTTGGTGTCCTGCAGGAATTTAGGCCTCCAGATAAAGGCAAGGAGTCAAGTTTTCCAAAGCAAGTTCCCCATTTTGATGTGTAGGGGTGTAGGATAGGCGGTGAGCGGAGATCTCCAGGTGCACGTAGCCTCTTGTTCTGGATATAAGAGGCAATTAGACTTCATCCCCGTGCAGGTCAACACCTTGCTTCGTTAAAGGGAGCATCTCTCTCCTTACTTGTAGCTTCATTTGCGATACAAATGATCTGCTTTTAGGTCCCAGTCTAACGGGGGCCTTCCTGATAAATGCAGCCAGTTTGAGACAGGCTTTGGTGTTTAAGGCATTTGCTCTTGCACCTGCAGTGCATCCTCCCTGGTTTTCGAGCCGACGTTGCCACGAACCAGTGAGACTCAGTCCCTGCATCAGTCGGGCGCCGCTGAATTCCCCCCTTCCCGTACTGGAAGCGAGAGGCAGCGTTCAAGCAGCGAGGGCAGGCGGTTAAATATAATGTGGTATTCTGGGGGGAGGAGATGAGGACTGAGTCCCTTTCTAAATCATTTCTTTTCTTGGTGTCTGCCCCTCCCAAAATACAGCGTCGATGCTGGGGGAGCTTCACGTCTCTTCCCCAGCAGCTCACCAAAACCCTCATTTTCTCTTCTTTTCCCCAGATATTAAGTTCCCGCCGCTGTATCCCGGAGAATCGCGAGGAACAAGAACCCAAGTCTTTTCTCAACTACTGTACAGGATGAAACAGCGCAAGCTTCCTAAGTTAGAGCCGGGCTTGCTCACATAGTAGACAGTGTGTTTAGGTTATTTATTTATTAAATTAGAATACTCTACATGCGGCCTCTGCCACTGGTGTTCGTACTGCCGCGGGACTGGGAGACGGTGGAATTCTTTCCGTCTTGTTTCATTTTTCTCTTTGGGTTGCTCTTTTTTGGGGCTGGGAGGATGGGAGAGGCAAGGAAGAAGCTGGTGGAATGGAATCGCTGCGATGTACTTGCAATAGTCCGTTATCACCGTTAATCCGACGCGCACGATGGGAGCCGCGGGATCCGACTTGGAGGTCGCACATTGCTTTTGGTTTCCTTCGCATCCCAGCGGTTCTTCCAGTGGAGCAGGATCCCAGCAGCCCTGCGAGCCAGCCGGAGGGCAGCTGGGTTTGCATTTCTCATGCCATTTGACAATGCAGCTAAAAACCTCATTTGCTCCAGGCGCTGCCGAGCAGCCAGGTGCTGCCTTGGCAGCGAAGCGGTAAATCTCGCCGGTGATCGCTGGAGAAACCTCTCATGATTCTGCCGAACTGCCCAAGGGACGGTTCTGCCAGCGAGTCGGTGAACTTTGCCTTAGCACTGCTGAAAGCTGTAACGAAGGGTCCGGTCGTTAGCGTCAGCCAGGGATAGCCCCTAGCATGTGGTAGGAGCCGGGAGGGCAGAGCAGTGCCCGCTCGGAGGCAGACCCTAATGGATGTGGTGGCGGTGGGGTAGGACCCACCACCGCTCCCTTCTTCGCAGCTCTGCAGTATTTTCCTGCTGCTTATGTTACGAGTGCCAACCTCCTACGGTTCAACCAAAGTCACATTCCCGGTGGGGCTGTGGGGCCGCCTCGCGTGCCCGCACTGGTGGAAGAGCCTTGTGACCTCACCAACAAATGCTGCTCACATGTCGGGGAGCTCTTCCAAACCCAAGCGGAGCTCATCGGCCATCCCGGCTGGGAGGACCTGTGTGCACGCAAGGTCTTTCTCCAGCTGAATTTCAGTCCTTGTTGGAAATCTTCGGAGTTTTATTTTCTAGTAATCTTTGTACAATGAAATCTGGAAATCCCCTTTGAGTGCGAGAGATGTACGCCGGAGTAATCCCCACCCCAGTTTTATGCGCAGGGAAGACTTTAGCATCACTAAACCCCTTCATTCACCTCAAATCTTGATGCACCAGAGCCAATGGAGAACAGATTTGCCATAGTTACTTGTTTTAGGCCAGGATGTCCTGCCTGAACGCTGTGCACAGCATGGCACGCTGACCAAGGTGACTTTCCAAGTCTCCATGTCTCATCGGAATCACTTTTCATGGTTCACATGGAGAACGTGGTCCTTCTAAAATAAAATTGCCCGACCTTGTGAGCTCAGAAGCCTTTATCCTGTGGAGGCTGCTTTGGTACCCGAGTCCCTCATCAGCGACAGATTCTTGTTTTGTCCTCACGGACTTCTTTGCCATCATGAAAAAACTCTTTTGTGGCAGCTTGTTCACGCACAAGAATGGAAAAACTGTGGAACTATGATCTCAGCAGCCGAGTACTTCTCTTGATGCTGAGGTCTGAAGTCAGCTTGGTCACAAGCTGCTCGGTTTTGGATAATAAGTTCTTGCTTATTCCAAGTTTCTCTTTGAGATTTCTCAAAACCTATAAGGCTTTGAGAAGACCACTGAGGAGGTGTTAGGCCTTTGAGAAGATCTTAGGGCTTTGAGGAGACTTTGAGGAGACATTAGGGCTTTGAGGAGATGTTAGAGCTTTGAGAAGACCTTAGGGCTTTGAGACTTTGAGGAGACCTTAGGGCTTTGAGGAGGCTTTGAGGAGGCTTTGAGGAGATGTTAGGGCCTTGAGAAGACTCTAAGAAGACTTTAGGCCTTTGAGAAGACTTTCTCATAGACTGGTCACTAACCACGAACTCAATCTCTACTCAGTCATGAATTTTATCCAGATCCTGAGATTTTTGGGAAGAGTACCCTGAGCTGTTTGAAACGTCACGTTCAGGTATTGCCCCGTGCTCCAGTACCTTGGTCTGCATCAGCCAATGAACCCCAGGGTTTCCGTTGTTCCCTGCAGATGCGCAGCGTGAAATCCTGCTTTTGGTCAAGGTGAAACGGCAGTTGCGGGGTCACATTGAGCAAAGCAGCTTTTGGAAAATAGGTGTCCTAACCGCAGCCGCTTCTGCCCCGGGAAAATCCCTCTCCATCCGCATGACCCTTCGGAACAGCTCACGCAGTCGCTTACCTCCCCCGCGTCCGTCGCTTGTGCAGCATACGGTGGTGCTGTCCTCATCCGTGAGTTCCTTCGTGCCGATTTTTAAGCCCATTTTCTCTTCCAGGTAGATAGGAGAAAAAGAAAAAAAAATTAACAATAAACTCCCAACTGGCTTTTCCCACCTCGATTTTTAAAGCTCTTCTCCATGTCGTTCTGCTTCTTCTGTAAGCTTTTTTGCTTGCTTGGCTTTTTCCTAATCAATCTGGAATCATATTCTGTGATCATCTCTAAATTAAACGTGTAATGGGTTGGGTTTTGTTTTTTTTTTTAATGTAACACATTTTTAAAGAAATAGGAAAAAGGAGATTTAGGTAACACCAGCAAAATTGTATAAGGAAATTAATTCTGTTCAGAACTTTAGCAAGAATAAGACAAAACCTGTCATCAGCCTGCAGTGAGGAAACGAAAACTTTGCAAACGTAACATTTTCAAAAGGATGTTTTAAATATTAATGTCTGAGTGATTGTATTAGATCAGCAATAAAGACTCTGTAATCTGAAAATACAAATAAAACATTGGAAAACTCCGTTTTTCCCAAGCGTCTTTCAGGTCTGGCGCAGCCGCGCGTCCTTGGGGCCGTGGGGGCTGTTGGGGCTCTTGTCCTTGGGGAGAGGGGGTTGAGCAGTGCCAGGAAAATCCCGTTATCTCTTCTGCTCCCGATCTGTCACCTCCCCGCTGCAGAACTGGGAACGCTGCCGGGGTGGCGGAGGGAAACAGCAACCTAAAGACTTTTGTTTTTCCCGCAGCCGGGGAAGGATGCGGGACACGAGCAGGACCAAGACAGAGCGTCCAGCACCTCCCCGGCTGGGTGCCTGCATGGTCGCCCCTAAAAACAACCACCCCACCCCCCATACTGGGTGGAGAGGGAGAGGAAAGGCTGCTCCCTCCCACCCCTGTTTTCCAGGCCCCCAGGAGCTGTTTTTAAGGAAAATTGTGGTACTGGGGGTTTGGCCAATCCGACCCAGCAGGTGATGCTGGGGGAAATGCCTGGGGGACAGGGACCCTTGCCCCTGCCTGCAATGGGGCAGCTGCAGCCCCCCACATGCCAGCAGGACCCTGCACCCCCTTTACCCACATGGCCACCTCCCCTGCATACCCATTAGCCCCATGGGCACCTCCTA